CTTAAATATCAAAATCTATAAAGACTCTCCATTTAAAACATGTTACATGAGGTAATTGAGCATAGACAGTTTTTTTTTTCTCCATAATTAATTTTACATCCTAATAGTTTACTATGGGCAGCACGGTGGTGCAGTTGGTAGAGCTGCCGCCTCTCAGCGAGCAGGTCGCCCCGTTTAAAATCCTGACCGATGACCTTTCTGGGTGGAGTTTTCATGTTCTCTCCATGTATGTGTGGGTTTTCTCTTGGTGCTCCGGTTTCCTCCCACAGACCAAAAACATGCATAAATTGTCCCTAGGTGTGAGTGAGAGAGTGAATGGTTGTTTGTCTCGTTTGTCTCTGTGTGTCCCTGTGATGGACTGGAGACCTGTCCAGGGTGTCCTCTGCCTCTCGCACAGTGATGGCTGGACATGGGCACCAGTGGCCCCCATGACCCGAAAAGGAAGAAGTGGGTAAAAATAATGGATGGATAATTACTTAATTAATTAATCACTTTACTCTTCTAAAAGCAACATCAGGTGTAGTATTGAGTTTTTTGTGTTGGACATCTATATTAATAAATTGTCAGCATATAATAATGTTTAAAATTCTTGCTTGTTAATTTGAATTCCCTTAAAGTTAAAACTATTAATATTGACAAAGTTGAGAGGTTTATGTTTATTTGATGTGATTTAAAATTTTTTTTAGGTTAAATACAAATAAAAGATGAACATTAATTTATTTGTACAGTTTGTACAGTTTTTCTTAGGCTTTTATATTGTTTATATCAATATCGGAATTATATTGTAATCGACCAAAATTAAGAAATATATTGTGATAAAAGTTTTGGCCATATCGTCCAGCCCTAGCGGGATATAAAAAAAAAAATTATTGTTTGCTTATCTTGTCACAAGAGTGAGTCCAAGAAACTGATTTCTTGACACATCTAGGTATCCATTGTTGGTGATGGCATCATTTGTATCTCTCTGATGTGTTTTTCCGTTAAAACAGGTGAGGTGAATACACAGGTTTTCCCTCCGTGTGTTAACCGTGACTTTGCTGGGAAAAGAAATGCTCCATTTATACTCATGGATTTCAGAGATTTTTTTAAATCCATCAAATTCTTTCTCTTTAATACATCAGTAGGGTAATTCGAGAAAAATTATACACTTTGTTTTTAAAAAGTCTTGATCTATTTTGTACTTTTCATGTTTTGTTGTTGAATCCATTTTGATTTGTGGTCCTAAAACCGTGCACAATTTTGTAAATGTATTCAGATTGAGGAATGAAGGCTTCAAATGACCTGCTGTTCAGAGCTAAGTCTGGAGTAGCATGTTGACTTTTTGGGTTTTGAAATGTTCAAATTTGCATACTTGTTTTTCCACTGATTGATGCCTAAATTTGCACCATAGACCTGCAGTCCAAAAGCTCACTTTTTGTGTATGGTTTGAGATTGTATAATCATTCCCATCTGAAAGCTTTAGGAAGGAGCTGATTTTACTAAAGCACCCACAAATGAGTTTAGTTGGAACATGAAAAGTGGCACCAATGAGCGTGTCCAGCTGTGTGGGTGAGGTGTTGCTTTATAAATCAAAGCAAAATCAGCTCTTTTTGAAATAAATAAATGAATAAATAAATTTAGCAGTCTAGCAGGAGCAGTGCAAATTAGCACAGCGGTGTGAACTATTAAGACACGTCAATATATAACACACAGCGTTTCATTTAAGCTTCACTCACAACCTGTTGTGAATGCTCTTACTGGCAGTGTGCATTGAAAACTTTGGCCAAAACATGCTTAAGACTTGCGTGCCGTTTGGTATGTTTAGTCCTGTAGAAGTTTTCAAACCAGCTGTGAGATCATTTGGTCTTGCACATGCAAATTCTATGGGTCTTGTGACCAACCAAGAATGCATACAATACATACAGAACATGTACTTCTCGTGCACACCTGAACCATATTTGTCTAGCAGTGATTTTGCAAGGACAAATGAGATGCTTGAGTGACACACAATCATTGTACTGTACTCAAAACAAGTAGTCCATACTAACTTTGTGTAAGGTCAGAAGTATATCTGACTTTCTATGTAGCAAATTATCCAAGTCCTTGCTGGGCTTACTGGTCCTTCTATCATTATTATTGTCATTAAATGTTTCCTCCTCCTCCGTCTGCTGTTCAGGCTGTTCCCTCTCTGGAGCTGCAATGAACTTTATTTTTGCTGTCTTCTTCCTGGATACCATTTTCTAACATTCAACTTTTTACCAAAAAAAACAAACATTGTTTATTATTTAAAAAAGACACGAGAGATGATGCAGACACGCTGTGGGCCTCTTTTTACGCACACTCCACTCAAGTCAGGAGTGATTGTCACATTTTTTTTTTCTTTTAGCAAAATAAATACATATACAACCATAAGCACTTGGAGATTGTACAAGACCCTAGAGTCACTCATGCATTAGCATTTTGTGCACAGACAGACAAGAATCCTTTAAATAATTCCTGAATCTGGATGGTGATCCAGATCACCACCAAAATTTAATCATGTTCTTCTTTGTGACAGCCTCAACATTGCCAGATAATGGGTTAAAAACTTTTTGAGTAATCTTGTGCACAGACAGACAAACCAATGCTACCAAAAACAACCTCCTTGGCAGAGGTAAAAAATGAGAATATCTTATTTACAATAAATTCTTATCCTTCATCCACCTAAAACAAACAACAACCTAACCTCAGTCCTGTTGGGTGCTTAATTTGTGGTCCTCTATTTTTAATCTAAATATTGGTGCAAATGAGTGAATTGAACTGTGCAAATGCATCTGAAACTCACCTCAGATTCTATGCGCAAAAATAAAATTTTTGATTACATATCCAACCGGGCTACTAACAGAGATCACAGAGTCTAAACGTCTCAAGTACTAATTTAACACCATGCTTGAATAATAAATACAGTTTCACTTCAGAACTGACTTTGTAGCAGTCACTATAAATCTGTCTAATTATGTTCTAAATGTGTCAACAATTATTTTCAATGTCACGTGTGGGGTTCTGTTGAATATATTTTGAGCATTCTCAGTTTGGACAACATGATGATATATGGGCTCTTTTCTTTTCCACCAGTAATGGAATACAAGAGTTGTAAGTGATACTCAGAAAATCCTCCTCACTGTCGGGCTTTCACTTGCATGTAGGGTCATAATGGGAAGGCAGGTAATGGATACTTATTAACCTGTCAGCATCAAGATAATGGTTAAATCTGTATAAAAATACCATTTTTTAAAATGTATTTAGAAACTTGCAAATTTACTGCACTAATTCAAATTAAGATGTAACTTAACACAATGAAGTTTTATTATAGTTTTACTCAGTAATCACTTCCGTCATCTAGACAGGCAGAGTAAAAGGGAAGAAAGCAATATCAGTTTTCTTTGTGTGTAAAATAGAGAAGATTTGGCACCACTGTTTGTCCAATCAAAGGTTGTTTACTGTGTGTGAGTTCACTGTTAAAGCACTCATCACTAGATCCTGATGCATGCTCAATAATCCAGGTAGAAAAATCTAAAAAGTTAACAGATTTAACTTTTTACACTCATCACTAGCACTTCAAGGGGAGGACAAGCATGACTTTAAGGTCAGGGTCGTGCAGGTGAGGTTTAAGCTTTGATAAAATCCAGCGGTTTATGCATTCCTGCAAATGCATAACCATAAATGTCAACAAAGCATATTTTTACGGCATGGTGAGCTTATTTTGTGCTGGTTAAACGCTTATGAAGTCTAGCAACAAGTCCAGCTCCTAACCTCAACTTGTGCTAATATAATTGTTTAAATAAACCTAATCCTTCAATGCTTCTAATAATTTTTGTCTTGTTTATTATTTCTTTGGTACAAGAATTTAAGGATGGAACAACAGTTCTGGAATTGTGTTAAATAAATAAATAAATAATAGATAAGGCAGACATAGTTTTACTTTTAGTAACATAATGTAGAGTAAACAAGTTCCACACAAATTGTAAACGATGCCAATATGACGTGACATGATGAGTTATTTACTTTTGACCCAAGCGTTTCCATCACAAGATATTTTAAATTCACTGGGAAATTGAACATGTAATGAGTATTTTGTTTTCTAAGCCAAAAAATTAAACGAGAGCACTGAACTTAACTCAAGGGAAAATATTAACAACAAAAACCTGAGGTTTACTTTCATTGTTTTTGTATTTATGCTAATGACAAATTTTCAACCTATTAACAGATTTAAAAAGCCACAAAGAGAATATAAGGCTCAAAAAGTAGGCTTAAATTAACCGTAACGGTTTAGTTTTGGTGACATCTAGTGGCACAAATTATAAATTACAACCAACAATACTACAAACTACAATGGCTGCAAGAACTGCAAATAAATAAAAAGAAAAAGACATCAACACTCAAACAATGGTTTGTTTTGGTCCTTTCATTGTTTGCTAGAGAGGTGACAACTTATTTAGATATTATTTCCTAATTTAAAACACATTTCCACATTTTTTTAACAAAAATCAGGCTTTAACTGTATTATTACACACTGCAAATTTAAGGTGTTATTATTAAACCATCAGTTAATGTTAACCGTTTAAAATTATTTCTGTTTTATTGTATTTCTTACTGTCACTGATTTGCTCATTTATAAGATTAAAAAGGCAGTAAGGTGTTTGTGTCTGTCACAGTGGATTCCCCCATATATCCCTAATGGCTTTCTAGCTAATGTGTTGTCTTTCTCTCTGTGTATCTCTGTATGTTTTTATGACTGTGTGTCTGTTTTTGTGCCATTTTTTTTCCTTTTGCCACATTTGGCTTGTCATCGACTTTTTTCCATGTGCTTTTGAGCATGTTTCTTCACGTCCTGCATCCTCGCTGTTGCTCTCTGCTCGTTGATGTGTGCTTTAAATGTATGTTTGTGTTTCTTTGTTTCTGTTTGTGTTCGTGCATCTCTTTTTGTGTGTGTGTTGGCCCCTGTCCCCTTGTCGCTGTCTCCATAATATGCCCTCCTCCAGCCTTTGTGACTTTGCTGAACGGGGACCAGGCTCAGGATGCCATCCGCTCCCTCCACCACAGCACTGTCCGAGGACGCCTGATCAACGTCACCCTGCAGCCCACCGATTCCCTGCTTTGCCTCACCAACCTGCCCCACACTTTCACCGCGCAGCAGTTTGAGGAGCTGGTGCGCCTGTATGGAAACATCGAGCGCTTCTTCCTGGTGTACAGTGAGCTGAGCGGCCAGTCCAAAGGCTATGGGTTTGTCGAATATATGAAGAAGGACTCTGCTTCACGGGCCCGCTCGGAGCTGCTGGGTCGACCACTGGTATGTTAGAGCGATAATTACAAATCTATTCTAACACATTCAGTCCTCTATAAGACTGAGTAAAGTAAGATAAGGACTCTGGATTCATTAAATGCTTTTGAATTGATTACATAGATTAGTTTGAGTTTGTTTTCATGCAAAAAAGTCCAAAAATACATTCCAAAAGGAGATTTTTTTAAACTTTGATATATTTATTCATTCAACCTTTATTTATACAGGTTAATCCCATTGAGCCTCAGGAACTCATTTACAAGAGAGACCTGATTTTAACAAAGAGTCATGACAACAGTAGACAACAAAGACAATAATAGATAATCATAAAGGATTACAAATTGAGATTTTTTTTTAACAAATAAAAATAAAATGGTGTTTAAGAAGAAAATGTAACAAAAAAAACACTTAGATTGTAAGGCGGTGTAGAAAACTAAAAACAGGAACATGTCTGCATTGGTTTTTCCCAGGAACTTAGCAGATGTTTGAAGCCACTTAGAGAGGTCAATGTTGAGAGCTTCAGATCTTTTTGCAAGATATTCCAGGAAACAGGAGCGGAGTAGTAGAAGGCCCTTTTGCCTAGTTCAGTCCATACTGAGAGAGCACTGCAGGTAATAATGTCCTGAGAGTGCACGCTGTAGTTGCACTCATGCAGTGAAATGGGAGATGTATGAAGGCAACAGACCGATAAGTGATTTAAAGATGACTAACATAATTAACATCTGATTAGCATCTGATTAACATCTGTAAAGCTTTTGAACAGCTCATAATCTCAGCTGCATCCACAAAAAATATATGCAGCCCAAAATCTGATCTTTGTGTCACAATTCAGGAAGTTGTGTTGCCTTGATTTTTGCCATGTTACAACTTGTGCCAAAAGTTTTAGAGCATTGGTGATGTTTATAGTCTGATTCTTTCTCCCTTCTGTATGTTAAAGGGGGGTCGCTCACTGATGGTGCAATGGATGGATGTAAACCAGCTGAGCCAAGAGGAGGACATGCACTCAAAGTGTCTGTGCGTGGATCGACTGCCACTGGACCTCTGTGATACTGAAGAACTCACCCAGATCTTTTCTGACAGATATAAACCCATCTTCTGCCAGGTAAAATGATAGCTCTTTTGCAATCTGTATCAGCATCAGAATGTTCTTAAATATGTTTGTCTTATGTTGAGTGTGTATGAATGTTGTCTCATTCTGGCTGTACCCTTCTACCCTGATTCACCTTTTCACAAAACAAACAAACAAAAAAAATCAAACTGTACAAGCTTGTCTGTTCCATTTGAGCTTTTGTTTGCCTAAATTCCAGGCATCCACATTGTTTGGTGAACATTTCCATTTCAGAAATGTGTCCATATACTGTACTGTTTGTATCTGAACATGATTTCTAGTTTGATTTTAATGTCCTTAACCGGAAGATTGTTTAGTACCGTAGGTAGTAAGTATTCCTGTTGAGACCACCAGACTTTATTAATGATGATGATCTCTTGTTTTAGGCCCAATCCTACCCATGTTTTTTTTTACCCATGGTCTTGAGATGTGAAGTGAGGATGTGGGCAAGGTAGCAGTCACATGACCTCTGTAACTTACAGCAAAAAATGTGTTTCTCATAATAATTCTAAATAATGCAGATAAATATGTCTGCAAAATGATCTCTGCAGAAATGTACCTTTTTTTCAGCATGCCTTTGCAAGTTTTGGCAACTTTATTTATTTTTTTCCTCTTTTTAGATTTTTGTAATTTGCTAGAACTTACATAACCAGAATTATCCATTGTCCATCTTACCAAATCACTGCAGTTGCTCCTAAGCCTCAAAATATCATGAAAGGCTCTCTTTAAAAAGAAATAATCCGCTTCATCCCCATATACACACTTTCAATCAAACACCACCAGGTGACACATGCTGATATAAAATTCAGCATCTCCTCCAGCCAGCCTCACTGTAACACTAAGCTACTGTTTCCATGGTGAGGTGTAGCTGTTGTGGCACCACCTTCAGCTTCCTCCTTCACACTCGGCTCTGTTTTTTATTTTTATTTTTATACTTCATTTGTTGATGGTGCTCCGGTACATCCACTCCTCCTCCACACACCCATTTTGAAGTTCATTCAATGGACATCAGTCACCTTTTGCATTTCCACTTTTAACTCCACCCCTCTGCCCCTCTCCCACATACAAATCAATAAACCCACATCATGCTGGTCCCATGATGCTTTGTGGGTGTTTAGCTCATGCTGTCTCACTTTTTTGAAGCCAGCAGGCTTTGACCTAAAGTTCATTATCTTTTTTTGTAAGTGCAGTATATTATGTGCTTGTATTGTACTGTATTTCAACATATATACTGTACACTTGGAATACTTAATGCACCTAGCCCAATACACACTAAATAGGATACAGATGCACAACTTGCATGCAGTCTCACCTGTCTGAGCCTTATTCCTATATGTTAAGTTAGAAAATACAAACAAGGGGGATTTATCATCTGCATTCAAAAGGCAAAAGCAGACAATGTTCGAAACAAGGGCTGAACGATTTTTTTTTAATTGTAATTGCGATTTTTTTTTTTACCTCCAATATTGCAATTGCAATTTAATATGCGATTATTTGTCAATGTCTTCTTCTCATGTATTTTTCAATGAACACAAGCAATAAATCAATCTGTTTCAGTTGCAAAAAACTCCACTGTTTTCAGCTCCTCTGCAACTCTGTTTCTGCATTTTTTGTATAGCTCTGGGATAGCAACTTGGCTAAAATGTGTGTTCAAGGTCATTCTGTACCACTTATCCATTGTGTTTACCAAAGCTGTAAACCCAGGCTTGGTCACTATGGGCATCATGGGCATCAATGGGCATCATGCCTTTCACTATGAACTTCGTAATTTCTTGAGTTATTTCCGCGTGCCGTTTTGAATTTTGTTCATACATAGTAATACCTTCGAACAGTTTGGTCAGTGATCCCTGTCGGCTGGTACTTTGCCTACTTTAAGTTGAAGCACTGGCCGTTGGCATTCTAGCCATGTAAATATTGTAAATGGCTTTGTGGTGTTTTTATTAAGTGTTGCTAAATATTCGTGGTTTTACCTCGAGGTAGCAACAGCAGCAAGGCGGGTTCTGCACAATACGTGTCGTTGCGCAGCGTCTTTTTTATAGCCAAACTAATTCCAAACAACGGATGTGCTGCCCCTCTTTGGTACCAAACTTTCAGATGTGTCCACTTCTGTCCAGCCTGACGCCATTGTGCAACCAGTTATAGCAGAGTGTTGACTTCTCCCGCTCCCTGCTCTGCTTTGCTCCGCTTTTTTCACTCTCAAGTCACGTAACCAGATCACGTGACCAGTCAAATTGCATCCTTTATGATTAGAAAATCCTGTTTTATCATATTGCTATATTATTGCAAATGCAATTAATTGTTCAGCCCTATTTGAAACTGTGTGTTTAAAATGTAGACTGTTAATTAAACAAATATTGAGCTAAATTTTGGAGTGGTAGTAGCTAAGGCCCTAACACACATTATGAGCATTAACAGATAGCAAAAGATTGTTGAAATTTTAGCTAGTAACTATTTGGAGTCAGCTGTGTCTCTGTTTTAACTAAATGTCTTATGATTGCGAGTGATAGGGAGACCTCACTCAGTTTTTAGGGAACAAGGGTTACTCTGGTAATAAAATTTATGAAGTCATTTTTACCACTATCCATAGTTGTTATATTTTCCCTGCTGTTAGTGGCTTCGTTTACTGTGTGCACTGCTGTGGGAGAATCGTTTGCATTGCCAACACCCTGCAAAATGAACCATACTTGGTATTCATACTGTGTGTTGATTTGTTTTTCACCTTCCAGTGTGAAAGCTGGAAACAATTTCAGATTTGACTCTGGTGATGGTGAGTGGCATGTCTACTAATCGCAGAGTTTTTGTGTTCACATTTTCAAGGTGTTGAACCCGACTGTTTTCAAGTTGAACTATTTTAGATTTTGCTTTTTTCAGTCGGTCTCAACAAATCCAAAGATTTCAAATCAAATATAAGCATTCAGTGGCTGAAAGAAGCTGCAGTACATATGAGCTCTTGATGGTATTTTAGAACATGCAGAACTGTGTTCAAGGAAAAATAAACATTCAAGACCATCTGTGGTTTCTAACCTTCTCGCTGGTTGATCATCATACATTTAAATATCTCTAAAATCACAGCACAGATGTCTTGGATGGTGAGTTTTGTCTGATGGTGCTGAGGTTATAAAATCAAGACTTCAGCAGTGTGTGGAGGAGCAGCGGCCTTTAAATGGACCCATTTTCAGTTCCTAATCAGGCGCATTTTGCCTTCTGACAACAGATATTAAAATAGTGTCTGAGAGCTCATCTTTAATACATTGGGTGTATTTTTAATGAATATTCAGGTGAAAGAGCAGGAAAGAATCAGAACTGATTTCAGTGTTTGGCACAAAGCAGACTTTAAATGCAAAATTAAGATGTGAATATCCTTCTTAGTTTATGCCGTCTAGTGACATTTGGCAACTTAGTATTAGGTTGTGAATAGTTGGCAGCACTCGGTGCTGTTGCAGATTATGTGTGAGTGAATATGAACAAGCAAAACCTGTAGGCTGCTTACATAAAAACCAGTTCATTTAACATGGTGTAAAACTTGTTTATACTGAATAAATTATATCTGAGACATGATAAAGATTTTGGCGCATAAACAAACAGAAACAATGGAGATTGCTCATTTACTGTACTTTATTATGTACAAATTTATTCTTAATGAGGACAAGATAAGAACTTTATTGATCCCGCAGGAAATTGTTGTGCCATAGTTTCAATACAAAAGAACATGCACAAGGTATCACACAAGATATAAAAAATTACAGAGAAAATTAAAATAACAGAGGTATAAAAAATACCAGCAATTAAGGACCAAAACAGGTCAAGTGTCAAACAGGTCAATTATGCACACACCGATCCTTTAAAACATATATAATTAATAACAAATGCATTTATGAAAAGACAATTAAATTACAAGCTAGAGAAATTGCATTTTTCTTTAAAAATGCAATGTGAATGTTGAAAGATTTTGTTCAAACTTGCTTAAGAAGCTGAAACTGAGGTGTTGAATTATAAAAAAAGCAGAACACTGGCTAAAAGAAGCAGAAAACAGGCTAAAAGAAAAGGAAGTCCAAAGTTTAAAAGCAGCTAAAGACTTGCTAAAAGTAGCAAAAGGTTTACTAAAAGTTGCTAAAGACTAGCTAAAAGAAGCAGTAGGCTAGCTAAAAGTAGATAATGGCTAGCTAAAAATAGCCAAAAGTTAAAAGCAGCTAAAGACCAAAAACTACAACCTATAACTAGTAAAAGGCAAAGAGCTAGAAACTAAAAGTAGGCAAAGGCTAATTAAAACTAAAAGTCAAAGCCAAACATTTGAAGTGGCAACAGGATCGCTAAAAATAGCAGAATTCAATCCAATCGCTAAAAGTAGCATAAAGACAAAAATACAGCAAAAATAACAACTCAGTATTTACACAAAGGGTAAATAAGGAGGTGTAAATATTAGATCTGCAATAAAGTTTGTGTATGACAAGAAAACAATTATCCCCTTTTATTACTTGGGTGGACATAAACAAAAGAAGATTGTCAAAGTGTGCATTTCTTTTTGGTGTGATAAAGATTTTCTATCTAGAAGGCCAATGCTTAGAGATCCTTTGATAATTTTTGATTTTTGAATCATTTGTCAGTCACTGTCAAAAGTCATTCAGTCTTCATCTCCAGTTGTTTTGCAAAAACACCCTTCCCTCTCCACACACCAAGGTAGAACTCAAACCCTCTTTGACACTTTCCTTTGTTCAAAGTGCACTTAACCTGCAGCCTTGTCCTAAGTGCTATAATTCTGCCACCCACAAAAGGACCCTCCAGACAGCACTTTAGTTTGAGTCAGACAGCAGAGATGGAGGGGAGGAGTGCGTAAAAAATGTCAACCATATTAAAGGAAAGGACAAATGTAGACATAGGGAGGAATTTGGAATTAAGGGAGGACAGAGTTAAGAATGCCAGACGTATTAAAAAAGATGGAGTGATGGAGGCGACAGGTGACGGTGCTGAGTCTAATGGAGGTTCCAAGATATGAA